TACGTCGATGATTTCGATGGATCGTACGACGGCACATATTTGTTGTTGGCTTGCGCGTATCTGTTGGAACATTGGCTCAGACCCCCCCGTATACCACGTTCGATGAATAGACGTCAACGTCGGTAAGAAGTTCGAAATTGACGCGAATATGTTTCAATATCGCGTCCCACGTTCGAATGGAGAATCGCTGCCACATTCATGACATGCGCGTAATCTCTCTTGGATACAGTGTCACCTGTTAACGAACTATAAAACGATTCACACGGAGGTAAACATTTATCCTCCAATTTTTCGACGCAGTCAACGTACTCGTACGGAAATACACCTTTATGCGTGAGTAGATCGAAATCTTCCATGTTGAGATTAAGAAATTCTGACTGTGTAATTTTTAATTTATCTTTATCGAGATACGACGCCAATTTTTTTAAACTTGCGAGAAATTTATATGAACCGATAGAAATTTATATGAATCGATAAATCATAATTTTATACAAATTTTCTTTTGATCATTTTTGTCTATAGTACTATTGACATATTTCGTGAAATATATTTTTCTTTTGTCATAGGAAGTATGTTTACATGTCCTTTATACGCGGTAGCTATATCCTTGATGATAAAGTGTGCGTCGTAGCCCGATAAATTATGTAATGTGAATCTTTATAATTTAAATTGCAATTTGAGTGCGCAGAGTCTCTATATCGCCCGGTCAAATGGTAACGATCGCGTACCCGTGTCGTCAGGCGCGAACGGTTTTCGCACACGTGGCAGTGCATGGCACTGTTAAACTTTTGCCAATCGTCTCGCAAGAAATCTGCCATAAAAACATTAGCAGACAGAATAGTATTTACATTATGCGCTAAATTTCTGAATTCCTCAGTGAACCACGCGACGCAATCGTTATCGCGACGAAAACGATATATTGACAGTGAGTTGTCGTACGAACAATGCGCGTAATACCTGATGCTAAACACGTTGTAATGTTGATACCTATATGTTGGCATATTCGGGTCTCTCTCCGTCTTCTCCAGGATGCATTCCAGGTCGGTGTAGACCATGAACGGGATGCGTTTCTTCCTGCAGTGATTGCTGAAACTCAATCACTTGTTGACCTCGCTCGGCAACCTAATGGCGCACTTGTTTAATTTTCCACAGTCTATTACGTGGATATCCAGCTTTGCGCTAGATCTAAAAAATAGTGCAGGTATCTGAAAAAAAGTATAATTTTTTTATTGTCACAAAGAGGTTACAAAAAAAACATTTTTAATTTTCAAACTTTAAATACGAAGCGCCTTACAGTTCCGAGTGTTAAGATGTTGAACTAACATTCATTTAAATTAAATTAAATTAATTTTTTTCAGAAATAAATTGAGAGCCGATAAATTATCGGATTCACACAATCATTCTGATAATCCTCTCCAATTTTCCCAAATCTTAAAAATTGTAATAAACTTATTGCGAAAAATATTGCCTCGACCGGGAGTCGAACCCGGATCTCTTGCATTCCGTGCGAGCGTCCTAAGCCTTTAGACTACCGAGACTATTTTTCGCAAAGTTTATTACAATTTTTAAGATTTGGGAAAATTGGAGAGGATTATCAGAATGATTGTGTGAATCCGATAATTTATCGGCTCTCAATTTATTTCTGAAAAAAATTAATTTAATTTAATTTAAATGAATGTTAGTTCAACATCTTAACACTCGGAACTGTAAGGCGCTTCGTATTTAAAGTTTGAATATTTGAGTTCCATTTCCAATCATATTTTTAATTTTATTTTTAATTTTAAATTAAATACAATATATACATACCGATCGCAAAAGTATTTTATGTGTCCATATTTATTGGTTTGTGAGCTCATGAGGTAGGACAGATTCTTTAGTGCCCCGCGTTATCCTGCATGTACAATAAATTCACATGCTTGTTCTTCTTCATATCGGTGAGCCGTAAAGGAAGAATCCTCTTTTTTTTGCTTCTCGATGCAGTATACGTTGACGGAGATATCAGAGATGACGGAGATTAAGATTTTCGAATTTTTTAATTTGATTCAGCGTCATTGGGAATACAATGTCATGAAGATTTACTACAGTCATATAATGCGGATATAATGACTCTCGCTCCATATTTTTTTTAGCTGGGTGTAGAGCGGTAACCATTGACGCGAAGCACGTGTTGCTTAGGGATTACACATTAATCATAGTTCTCTTCAGTTTAATTTCTTGCTGGAGTTTGATATGACAGTCTGCTTACAGAGGATTATACTTATTTATGTTTACTGTTAAATTCAGTATATTAATTTAGTATTAAATTCAGATGTGACAGCGTCCATCCACTATCGCGCTCCTAGAATTCCTCCAGGATAGGCTCGACGACGTGCAACGCATACTACTCATGTAAATCGGATGAACGAAAGAGTTCATAATTTCTCGTGCTCACACTTTTATTTGCACGTTTATCATCACACAAATTCACCATTAAACACTATGTTTATCTTAATATTATCATGTCTCTGAATAACATTTTGCACACGCTCAAGTACTATCTCTCTCCATCTTCAAGGAACTGACGAGATTTGATGTGTTCAGAGTTTATCACAGCACCGGTCAATATACTTTCGAACGCCATATCAATCTCGCGCCATCGCGCTGTACCCGACACTCACTTGCACGAAACGTCTACACACCGTGTCTTTCAAATTTTCGAGTCGCGCGAATACAAGCGATCAACGTGTTTAACTCCAATCGATAATCGTGGATGTTTAGCGCGATTCTGTTCCTCCAGCGATTCGATGAAATTATCATAACGCTGTTCCCACGCAAGAAACTCTTCTCGCGTATTTAATTAAGCGGCTTGCGCTATGAGATCACGCTTCGTTTGATCCACATTGTCATTTTGAATTGTTGCTCGATTGCTGACAAAATGAGTTTCCAGAGAAGAAAATCTTTTTGTTTTATATAGTATGGAAAGATGCATTATTTGGTTTGCTGCACGTTTTAACATGTTTGAACATGTTTCAACAAGATTTAACGTGTTTTCGAAGGGGTGATTTTTTTATCGCAGTCATAAAGATAGGCCAAAAAAAAAAAATTTTGAAAAGAGAATTGGAACAGAGACTTTACTGTCGATTCCCAAAGATAAAAAGAAGAGACTTTGATATCGTCAAAGTGCATTCTTGTGATATGTATTATTGTGTAGTTTAACAAAGGTTTGATGATAGTTATACTGAATAATAAACTTACATATTTTTAAAAATAAGTAAAATTTTACATTGAATGCACTGCCCCGAAATTCATTTTTTGAAAAGACAGGAGCAGATAGACTTTATTGTCGTTGGTGCCGATCTCTTAGATAAAAAAGATTCGATATCGTTAGAATGCATTCTTATGATATGTGCCAATTTGGTATCCTTCGACCACGTCGCAATTATTCTTCAAAGTATAATGTATATAAAAAAATTCCCTCCATTTTAGGGTGTGTAAAAAAAAATGTGGAATGGAACTGTTTAAAAGAAGAGCTCCGGGCAACGTTACCGCATCAGTCGTTCAGAGAGCTTCAACAGAGTTCAGACGGCTATTGCTAATTATACGTTCTCCGAGAAATAAAATATCTCAAGCCATGAAATATTACGTTCCAATTCAACAGGATGAGGCGTGCAAGAGACAGTAAGTTTATTTAATTTTATAAAATATTTGCTTATACGTATTATACATTATATATTTTTGTAAGATCTATTTACATTTTTTTTTCAACAGCGCATTTTTTCAAACATCGTCTAGTACATCTTCGAAACCTCGCTACATACTTCGTATCTTGTTGAGGAAATATGCATTAACATTGACAGCGTACAAGTTTCTGTAAATTGGGATTGTTGTGGGATCTATATCTCATATGCAAATTGCGATTGGCGATAATCAAGGCAACCGCATGTTTATACCTCATGCTACGTGGAAAGCATTTATCGAGAGGTATGCAGATATCGAGCGATTAATGCAGTCAACAATCCCATCATCATCATCATCATCGATTCAAGATCTAAATGTGGAACTTGTTAAAATATATGATAACATAAAGTTAACATTAAATTAATGCACATGTTTGTACATGAAACCAACAACTGTGCTTTTCTTATTTGAATTTGAACAATGTGTTGAGCATGTATTCTATGAGTCAATATACGCACGATGTTAGAAGAAATTTTAATATTTTGTGTCATTTTTAAAACAAATTTGTATTACTAATGAAAGCGATGCTGCAAACATTTTGTACAAAATTTATGATAAAAATATTATTCTATTATAGAATGTGAACTAATAGTCTGGTTTAGATTATATTGTACATTCTGCATTACATGATAAATAAATATATGTTAAAAAATATATTCTTTTCTTCTAAAATTACTTTATCCCTAATATCTTCGCTACTTCTTCTTCTTTATATCTTCGTAGTAGTATTGAATTAGTCAATAAGAAAGCGCGCTTGATCATTTTTGTACTACATTACTAAAAAAATATTATCATAATTAGCGTTACTAGGTTACATTAAAAATTCATCATAAAATGAAATTATTAATAAAAATATTATCATAATTAGTTTCTAAGTCGTATCATTAAAAATCGTAAATACCATATCTATTTAATTGAATCAAGAAAAAAGACAACATAGGAGAAAGTGCAACCAGAGGAAGAGAGAACCCAAATAATCAGTATAGGACTGTAACAGGTGGAAGAGAGAGAACTGTATCCTACAATGGGTAGGAGAAAGAAGACCACAGGATAAAGAGAGAACGCAATGGATGAGAGAAAGAAGGAATGAACCCTTCCCTCTCTTACATGAACTTCGGTGACGCACTTCTCCCTCCCTGACTTCCTCACACGCACGCACGCGCGCACGCACGCACATACACATCGTATACGCACTAACACATAGTGAGTTAGAATCGGTGTATGTATCCTACTTTCTTCTTATAAAAACTTCTAACTCATCTTTTCGTATCTATGTTGGACAGGCGTTTGCCCATCTGTCGGACAAACTTGTGCCACTCGTTGACGGAGTTAGTATAAATAAACAACATTGGTTGGAGATTGCTGAAAGCCAATGCCAGATGGAGACCTGCACGAATCACGATAGGACACTATCGATATCGGCGTCCGACAATGAGGAAACCAACGAGCAAGCGGACCAGTAGTCATTATGATGATGTCATGGCTATTAAAATTCAATGTATCAAACATAGCGACCATCCGTCAGTTGATCGAGAAAGAGATATGGAATGTAATTTTTACTATCCTTATAGACCATTTTCCGTGACTCATTTTCTTTGTCTCAATTATCACGGTTTATGTTCTGCGTGAATATGAGTGGATAATCCATTTGTTTGTATTGGATTATGCGTTAATTTATTTCTGTCAATTTCTACATATCTGCTGATCAAATAGACGGTATATAACTTCCTCATTGTAACGTATATTTTAATCAAAATTATTCTATAAATTCGACATATAGCAAGTTGAAAAAGCTAAATCTTAATGATCTTGCGAAATATGATGAGAAAGATCTTTGTTCTCTCTCCCCCCCCTCTTTCTCTCTCTCCCTCTCCCTACCCCTCTTCCTCTCCCTTTCCCTCTCCCTCTCCCTCCCCGCTCTCTCACTGTCTGTCTGTCCGTCTCTCTCCGTTTCTCTGTCTATTTTATATATTCTGTTTCTCAATCCTCTTTCGTCTTGTCTGTTTATTTGTTCATCCTTTTAGATACTAAATGATAATCTCCAGATGCTACTACTGTACCTGAGTGTATTGTGTGTATATATATATATATATATATATATATATATATATAT